GGGGGTATTATTAAATTTTAGAGAATCCAAGCAAAAAAATGAATGGACTTTAATGGAAAACTCTAAGACCGTCTAAGTCTGTTTCCTGGTGATAATGAATGATAGTATAAAAATGTAATTTGTCGTGGACGCCTGCACATGGTCCCCTGCTGGGTAGTTTTGGAAAAAGAGGAGGGGGAGAACAAGGGGGTTGAAATGTTTGTTCTATTATTTATCAAATGAATACAGTCGAATTGCCCTTACGACCACATGACAAAGACACTCAACTGTACAATAAACACCCACTTCTCACTTCAGCCCTTGCGGGTTTTATTATTACTGTATAATTAAACCGCCCAAGAGGACCACCTGTCGAAGGTGACCACTATGTTCTCCTCCACAAAGGGTGGTTGTCTTGGATACGTTCGACTGTAATCTTATCAAAACCAACAAAGTTAACCAGATAGTACGTACCCAGCATAATATTAAGGCAATCTAATAATATTTAATCAGGCCCTGTTTAGACAATGAAGACCTTTGCCTCCCTCCCGCGGGGCTTATCATTAAGTGATAGGTCCGGGCCGGGAATGAACACATGACGAGATCATTTATACAGTATTATACATACCTTTACTGGTCACTGTTATGGGTGAAATACATTTTTTTTAAAAATTCAAAATGAGAATAGTGCTTTTATTTAAGAGTTAGCCGATGAAATAATAATCAAGCCTCACAATAACGACGAAAATCGTATAATAACCCTCTGTGGACAACAACTACAATATGATGAAGTTTGAGTGGTCATGCAATCCAGGTGCAGTGTTTAAATTGCAACAAAATAAGCTTTTAGTTTTGGCAAGAGTGTTACGGTACTTGCAGCACAATAAGGTCACATAAGTGCCAGAGATTAGAGGTACAATGTATTACAAGAGAGTAACAAACACAAAAAGAGAAGGAAGCGAGATCAGGACGATAGATGTTTGATAGGAAAGAAGGAGCAAACCTAATCAGAGCACCCGCCAACTACCCGCACAAAATAAGCAGATTGTGATTGACTCTCTCTCTCTCTCTCTCTCTCTCTCTCTCTCTCTCTCTCTCTCTCTCTCTCTCTCTCTCTCTCTCTTCAGATTTG